CAGAATCTGCAGGCCCTGAGACCACAGACCCTGGAAAGCTTGGGGAATGGTGAGAAGAAGGCGCTTGTCTTTCACCAGAGGACTTTCTGGACCCCTCGGTGGACGCTAAATGGCAAAAGAGCCCCTGCTGGTCAAAGTTAGTAACTGCAGCCCCTTCCGTCTTTGGGAAGAGGATGCTGTTTCTGAGAGATCCAGGTCTTGATTTAACATCTCTGGAAGGCACATGGATACTCATAGCCGAGAAGCAGACAGGTGAGAGATGTGTATAGAACAAAGAGAAGAGCGTACTTTGCCTTTACACAGCCCAGAGCTTGGCTTGGCAGGGGTGCGGGAGGAGAGCAGCTGTTTCAGATCCCAACCCAAGCAGAAGTGGACACTCTCAGAGCACTTCTGCTCATTCAGAAGCTGATATTGATGCTGCACTTGTGCAGGTTTGATTTCTGTAGCCATGAGAAGTCTCGGACTTTCAGGGAAGAGAGTTACTCGAAGAAGATCCATTGGAGGGTTCAGTTGTCTGATACGTTTCCCTCCCAGAACACAAAACAAAGGCCATAGCAGAGCCCTTCCCGCTCAGGCGGGAGAAGACACACCCAGGTTGGTGTCCTGGCTCTGTGACTTCTCTCTCCACCCCTCAGCTTCCTCATTTGTAAAATGCAGATAATCAGGCCATCTTCAAGAGAGTGTTGTGAGGATTAGAAGTTATGTAGGTAACATGCCCAGCACTGGTTAGACATGCAGTTGCAACCCTGAGGTTTGTAGAGACCTCTCTGCAAGGACTCAGGTACCGAGGAAGCTGCTACTGTGAAGCTCAGGGAGGTGGACCAGCATTCAGACCATGGCCAGACTGCCCATGCCGAGCTGACAGGGTCTGAATGGCCCACACTGCAACCTGGGCTGAGGGCACCTCACTTGCCTGTTTTAAAAGTTTCCCAAACCCTCGTGCATTGCTGAGAATGTAAAATGGTGCAGCCACTATAGAAAGCAGTCTGGCAGTTTCTCAAAAAGATAGGCATAGAATTACCATGTAACCCAACAATCCCACTGCTAGAGAGGCTCCAAGAAGAATCAGAACATGTTTGTGTATGAACTTGTACGTGAACATTCCTTGAGACATTATTCATAATAGCCAAAATGTTAGAAACAACGCAAATATCTCTCAACTGATGAATAGATAAACAAAATGAGGTGTGCCCATACAATAGAACATTATTCAGCCATGAAAAGGAATGAAGTACTGATATCTGCTACAACACAGATGGATCCTGAAAACATTACGCTAAGTAAAATAAGTCAGATGCAAAAGGATGAATAATGTATGATTCTATTTATATGAAATGTCCAGAATAGGCAAATCTGTAGGGACAGACAGTAGATTACTGGGTGCCAGGGCTTAGGGATGGAGAATGACTATTAATGGGTACAGAGTTTATTTTGGGGGTGATAAAATATTTTAGAACTAGACAGTGGTGATGGTTGCCCAACTCTGTGAATACGCTAAAAGCCACTGAATTTTATGGTATGTGAATTAAATCACAATACAAATAATAAAATTGTTACAGAAAGAAAGAAAGGAAGGAAGGAAGGAAGAAAGAAAGAAAGAAAGAAAGAAAGAAAGGAAGGAAGGAAGGAAGGAAGAAAGAAAGAAAGAAAGAAAGAAAGAAAGAAAGAAAGAAAGAAAGAAAGAAAGAAAGAAAGAAAGAAAGAAAGAAAGAAAGAAAGAAACTGCTTAGCTTGCCAGCTGGAGTGTGCTCTGACTGTACAAGATGGGCAGTGCGGGGACTGGAGCTCTGATGAGCCTCGCCTATAAATCAGATTACCTCGCGCCTCTCCCTCAGCCCTGCCTGATTCTGAGGGGCTGCAGCAGCCACAGACTGTTTCTGAATACCCAGAAATTAAAGGACTTCTGAGTATACTGGGGTCCAGTCGAGGCAGTAGGGTGCTCGCCTTCCAGCAGGCACCATGCAGGAAGAACACAAAGCTCATAAGCATGCTTTGCCTTGCTCTGAACACTTATAAGGATCATGTTTTTCAAACCACAAATCAGGACTGATAATTATGGTTTATACTCATGGGAATGGTAGGATACACCATTTTAAGTACGGACTGTCTCCAAAAATCTGGTCACAACACTCCAATTTTCCCGGACATACTCATCTCCTTTTTTTCCTGTAAATAGCCAAGTTTCTTAAGAACTTGGACTTCCTTGGGAGTCACAGGCAACACTTTTTTTTTCATACAACACAGGTCTCCTGGTGAAAGGCATTTAATCAGAACTGTACTTTTTCTGACTGAGAGCTTATCTAATGCACCAGTCAGGCTGAATGAGGTGCCTGCCGCCTTTTCCAAAGCAAGGTATGGAATCCAAACCTAGAAAACACTGTCCAGGTCTGTTTCCTGGAAGCCGGTTTGGAGTTTTGACAGGAAGTTCAATGCAGCAAAAACTTTACTCTTTCCTCTCCCAACACCACGACCGCCATCCCCCAACAGCAGTGGATTTCACAGATGAGGCAAGGAGCAGCCGCATTCAGGAAGAACTGCAGTGTGATCTGAAATAGCTGGATCTGGTAGCTTCCACTGAAGGAGAGCCCAGCCCTGCTGGGGCCCCTTGATCTAATATGAGCATAGGGCCCAGGAAAACTCAGGACCCTTCTCATAGCTGGGACACTCCTTCAAAGGGGTGCAAGGTTTTCATGCACCCTCTTCCACCAGCCTCCACCTCTGCCACCCTGGACCAAGCCCTTGCCATCTCAGATCTGGATTAATCTGATAGCTGCCTAATTGGTCTCTCTACTTCCACCCCTGTTCCCTGCCTCCCTGAAGTTTATTCTCAAGTCAGCAATCAGAGAGATGCTTTTGAAACGTAAATCAAATTATGTATGTCACTCCTCTTCTCAAAACCCTGCAGTGACTCCCTATACACTCAGTAAAAGCCAGTCCTTACAACCACCCACAAGGCCCTATGTGGTGAGTATGCCATCCCCCAACCGCTGACCATACACGCCCCACACACCACACATCCCAGCCCCAGCCCCCCAGGTACACAGCCACGTCCCCACTAACCTGTCTGGAGTCATCTCCTCTGGTCCACAGGCTCATCACCCTGTCGCCCCTGCTGCTTCTCAGCTCACCCTTGCCTTCACACTCTCTGCTGGAAGGTTCTTCCTAATCACTTGCATGGCTCTTTCCCCGCTCCCACTGCTTCAACCTTACCTTACCACTGGGGCCTTCCCTGACCACCTATTTAACAAGGTCATCTCTACCTTTCATAACATTGACCCTACTGAGTTTTCTCAGTAACATTTACCACCATTAACACATGATATATATACATGTTTGTTTCTATCACCCCTGTGAAGATAAACAAGGACCAGCCACATGAGGAAAGCAAAGACTATGTATGTATTCATAACTTACTATAGCTAGGGCGTCAGCCACCGTTCCCTGCGTTTTGCAGACTCAAAGGTGGGCAAAGGAGTGGGAAATCTTTATAATGGAAAAAGGGAAGACTTCGGGCATGCCTGGATTGGAGGCTGTTGGCACGGGGAAGACGTAGGCACACTGATTAGGAGGGGGGGGGGTCCTGTGTGATTGGTTAAGGGTGTATATTAAGCTCTTTCTGGTGGGTCCTAAGATGTAAGTGGGGACAAAAATTAGGGAAGCTCTTTGTTATCTTATTCAAATCCTGGCTCCTTGGGGCTGGTTGTTACAGAAGTGAGTGCTCAGCTTCCTGGAAAGGGGATTGGTTTCCTGGGGAGGCTGCTGCAGGTTGTAGGTCAGAGTTCTATCTTTATATACAGTCTGGCCATAGTCCATTTGTTTATTTAGTCTCATCCCTCACTAGGGTATAAACACTAAGAACATTGCTTTATTTATTGCTGGGTCCCCAGAGCCTAGAACAATGCCTGGTACCTAGCAGGCACTCAGTAAATATTGTTGTTGATTATCATGTTTGTCTAGATCTGGTTAGAAAAGTTGCGACTTGGCTACATGACCTGAGTAGGAAACCAACTACAAGCTTGCTTAACCCAATCCAATTCTACAAATGTCTGTTGAGTGCTTGCTACATACCCAGGAGACTCCATATTGGATTGTGGTTATTCACTCCAGGTTACACAGGACACATATCGGCGGAAAATGGATTAAAGACCAGAATTCTGAATGCTTTAGCCTTTGCTCAAAATTTTTCTTCTCTCCCACTTTGAACTTATTTCTACCTTTAAGACCTTGTCAGGTCCCAGGCCTCCCATTATACTTTCAGAGCCTGCTCTGGCCCACATCTACTCTCTCCAGCACTCACTGCCTATGAAACTCACTCAGTTCTCATAAAGCGCCTGTGTGGTAGCTGGTTGTCTTTTCAATGAGCTGGTTCTTTCCTCAGTTGGATTATTTCCTTAAAACAGGAGCCACATCTAGCCCCCAATACAGGTGACACATAGGATGGTCTCAGTGATCTGAGTGCTCCCCCAACCCACCTCCGTTCTATGTTTGACCCCAATCAAATGTGTCACTCACCTCAGGATACTTCCATCTTCCTCACACAGAAGTCACACCTGCTTCAGAGCTGCCAACTGGGGGTGGGGGTGCGAATGGGGGTGGGAGTGGTAGTGGTGGTGTACAAACAGGATACTAGCCTGATAACCCAAAGCTGGGACCTTTACTTGGCCATCTCAACCATTTCCTCATACGGGCTCCCCACTAAATTAAAAAAATATGTTTAAATGGTTCTGAATTATCTGTTCTTCCAGAAAGGAGATTCCAGGTTTGGGTTAATTTACCCTTTGGATAGAACACTCAAGGAACCGAGAAATAAATAGGTCAGGATGAAAGTGGACATAGAACCTTTGGAGATGGCTCATGGGCAGGCTGCAGGCAGATGTAGCAGACAGAATGTAAGCTCCTCGAGGGCAGGACACGGGGCTGCTGTGTTTACTAATGAGTCAACACCTGGCACACAGTAGATGCTCCATAAATATTTATTGAATGAATGGGAGGTAGAAACACACACAGTTAGTTTGCAATGAGCAATGCCAAGTTTAAATAGTGATCATTTTCTATATTCACTAATTTTGTTGCTTTAATTTTCTCAGCCATCACAAAACCGTATAAAAAGGCAAATGATAGAATTAGAGATGAGAAAGAATGCTCTGAGGAGCGAAAGTGTTATTGCCCAGTTTCTGTTACTGAGCCACACATGCTTTTAACAGGCAGACGGGGGTGCAGGGCCTGCCTCGTACTGAGCACAAGGGAAAGCGCAGGCTTGAGAACTCACTGCAGGGTTTCAAATCCCTCAACAATTATGGATTCCTCCATGGTTTAATCCCTGAACGTTGTTGTCCCAATTTTATAATGACTCAGAATCAGGCAGGTCAACATTAGCTACAATACATTCATATGTGTTTAAGGCCTTGGGAGAGAAATGAGAGAAAACTTTCACAAGCTCCACCGTGGTCCCTGGCTTCATTTCATTCAGATAACTTTTTCTTTTTTTTTCAAACTTGGTAAATGTTTGAAACCAATAGCCTCAAACCTGGACCTCAGACTTCTAAATTCTTCTAATAAAATAGCCAAATGTGCAAAAGAAAAGACAGAGTTTCTCTTGGCCAAAGCCTCCTGGTGCCACTCCGGAACCCATGTCTTGGATTCCTCAGGGTTCACATCTTGGGGCTGGGAAGATGAGCAGTTCTCCTNCTGGACCTCAGACTTCTAAATTCTTCTAATAAAATAGCCAAATGTGCAAAAGAAAAGACAGAGTTTCTCTTGGCCGAAGCCTCCTGCTGCCACTCCTGAACCCATGTCTTGGATTCCTCAGGGTTCACATCTTGGGGCTGGGAAGATGAGCAGTTCTCCTGCCTATCACCAGGGAAGAAAGTGAGCTATTCAGCAGACCCCAGCCTTCAGGAAGACCCTCCTATTCCTGACTTCAATCTCTTCTGGCTGAGAAGCACAATTCCCTCTCACCCTGTCATCATTGGAGAAGGGAGAACAGCTGCTCACTGCCCTCCTTTTAATCAACCTTAATGGGCTCATAAACAGTTATTAGGTCTCCCTTCAGCCTTCTTTGAGCCTCATTTTGCTTGCATTGAGGCTGAGAGCTTCTGAGAAGGCGTTTTACTCGGATCTCCACAGACTTGCAGAGTCTTAAATGGGTAATCAGCCACTTCACCCACTTTAACCTCCACAAATGAACAGCTCTGTCTTTTTTGCAAAATTTAAACCTATTCAAGGGAGTTCCCTGGCAACCAACCCTTATTAATAAATCATGCCTGCTCTAGGCCAGGACAGGGCATTTTTTAAATGTTTCTTTTTCTTGAGAAGTCACACTGGTGAACAGGCACACAATAAACTAGCAGCTGCTCCCTTTGAAGTTCTGCATTTGCAGGATGGATCCTGTGGGGAATTCTTACCTGGCTCCCCAACTGAGAGGGGGTGCTGCCCTAACAGACACTCCTCTGGTCTTATCTGGTGGGTTTGAACCAGTGCCTCAGCAGTTAAGGAGTAGGACATGGAGGTAGAACGAGGATTGCTCAACCTCTACCAGGCACACGCTGAAAACTTCTATTTCCTATCCAATTTTCAGTTCATTGCTTTCATCCACAGGTGAAAGTCCCAGTTGTAGGGTTAACCAGAGCTTCCCATTGTGATCTCACTCTGAGTCTAGTGGTTCCCTCCAATCGCAGGAGGAGCAGGGCAGAGAGGCTGTAAGGTGGCTGTTTTTCAGCTTTAAGAAAATAGAGTGACTGAGAGGAGATCCAAGATGGCGAAGTAGATAAACGTTGTGCTTGCCTCATCCCGTGAACACATCGAAATTACAACTAAGAACAACCAACCTGGAGAACCATCTGAAGTCTAGCTGAACAGCAGTTTTATAACTAAGGATATAAAGAAGAAGCCACATCGAGACTGGTAGGAGGGGTCAAGACACGAAATGGGCTGATCTCACACCCATGTGTGGCTGTTGAAAATTGGGAGAGATATCTTGGCCACAGAGGTTCCCCATGAAGGAATGAGGGACCCCAGCCCCCCACTCCAAGCTCTTCAGCCTGGAGTACTGCTGCCGGGAATAGGAGCCCCCACAACTTCTAGCTGAGAAAAAAATGGGGATTCTGACCATCTGGGTGGGACAGAAGGCTTTGGGAAAGCTAGACATCCTTTTAAAGGGCTCACACAGGCCCTCACCCTGGGATCCAGCGGAGGGATAATGATTCTGGGGGTGTCAGAGACATATGGTGAGGACTGGAGGGACAGTCCCCATTTTCCCTGTGTGGAGCCCTTCTGCTGTGCAGCTGGCAGGTGGGTGCCATTTTTCCTGTGTTAAACTTAGCCCCACAGGCATGAGCTGTGCAAAATAAACCAGACACCAAACAGCACATTCTGTGTAATTGCATTTATACAAAATTCAAAACAGCAAAACTAAGCTATGATGATAAAGATCAGAAGAGTGGTTGCCTCTGGGAGGAGTCAATTACTGAGCTGAACACCTTAGATCCATGCACTTTATTAAATATAAGTTATACCTTGATAAACAAAGAATAAAAGGTGTCTATTGTTTTTCTCTCCCCAGTTGAATGACTCATTATTTGGCCATTGTTTTCACTGCTCTGCTTCTTTTGAAAAAATTTGAGGTGACTTACAAAGGGGTATGGTGTTGAACTGTATAGGTGAAGAAATCTGAGTGATACTGAAATGAGGGCAGCAAAATAAGGTGAAATCAGAAATGAGGGTAGTCCTTAGCATTTATGTCAGGAAGTCCTGTGCACTTCCTGGGGGGAACTGAATGGAACTTCCTAGCAGTCAACAGACGAAGAAACACAACGCTTCTTCAAACAAAAGTTAATAGTCCAGCTGATCAGAAGCACAGAGACCTGAGAAAAATTTCACCTGTACCGTGTCAGAAAAAAGGTAACTATGCAATCAAACCCCTTTCTGTTGTTTTAAACATCCCATTTGGGACCCTGGATCTCCAAGTCCCTTCAGGTCACATTTACACTCATATGGCACCTCATATGCCCTCATGGAATTTAGGGTGAGGTAGAGACCCTCAGACAGTCAAGTCCCCTCCCCTGTGCTCTGCTGTGGGACCAGCACCTAGACTGCTTACTTTCCTGGGTGAGGTTTAGGGGAAGACCTGCTTGTGAGGGCTGGGTTTCGGTCCTTTGAGGTACCCAGCTTGCCAGGCTGGTTTCTGGCACTAGAGCCTGCAGCCTCAGCCTGTGCTTTGCCACTCAGCCCATCTCCTTCCTTGGTGATGCTTCTCGGTGGTCCAGTCCCTGCTGCAGAGACATCTCTGCTCTGAGCAGCTCCCTGGGGCCTGGATACTTCCCACTTTGGTATTTGTGTTAAGGGATCTTTCCACTTTCTGGCTCCAGTTTTTGAGTTGAATTCATATCTTGCTCCAGTAACTAGGGGAAAAAGTATATGACCACATAAATGAAGGAGTTCAAATGATCCTCTCCTCCCCCATCTCCACCCTGCTCTATTCTCACCCCCAGGGAAAGATAAAGCATGCTAAAAGGTGTGAATCACTGAGACAGAAAGCAGGCTTGTGAACAGTGCAATCGTCACTGCCCTCTCCACCAGCTATAAAGCTCCAACCACACAGGTAGCAAATACCACGCCTCCATAGATAGAAAGGTTTAGCAGTCTCAAGGCCATCTCAATTTCAAGATTAGAGGCCACATAAATCTGGAACTCCATGGGAGCTTCGGATAAATTAGGTTCAATTTCTAATGGGGTTACCCATTTCATTCTGATTTGTTTTAAAAGTCTCCTGAATCCTTACTATTAAAAGGCATTCACCAAGTAAGGAGGAAAAGGCTGATTTTTATTTATGTTAGGTCAGCAGAGATTTGTAGACACAGACACACAAATCTGGTCCCAGCTGAGATGATGCAAGGGAGCCATTTTTATTGTGTCTGAGCCAGCAGACGCTAATTGATGTGTCTGTGCACATTCGTCTGGTTGGCTCATTTCTTCCCTTTTTCTTCTCTCAAACGCACAAATGCAAGGTAACGGCCTTGGTCCTGTCCTGCTTTTAGCTTGGAGTTTCAGGCGAGGCCCTGCTCTGCCATTTCCATGCAGCACGAGTGGCCTCTCCGCTGAGGATCCCACCAGCACTTATGTTAATGTGGGCACATTATGGTAACAAGTACCTAATAATAGAGGGAAATTTAATTCCAGCAGCAGCAGCAGCAGCCTCTCCTGGAGAGGAGCCATCCTCCTTCCGAGGAGGCCCAAGCCGTTCGCATGTGAGCATGGCAGGGAGCCAACACACTTGCCTCCTGAATTTGGTTTCCTTCCCTTTATTCACGTCTATAATTGAGCCTTTGTAAGTGGAGGGATGTGTGTAAAGGAGCTAAATTTGGAACTGATTTCAGGGGGGTGAGGGGAGTTCTGGGGGCCAGTTTTACCTTATGTTCATCTTGCCAACCAAGAAGAAATTCTTGGCCCTCATCTTGGAAAAGAAAAGCCAAGCTTGCCATTTCTTCATATCTCTCACTACCAATAAGATGGTGTTGGAAGCATTCAGAAAACAATGGGGGCATGTGGGTTGAATCCCAATGAACAAGAAAAAAATATGGGTTCTTGAATTCCTCAATTCCCTGAATTGGCTTGTGATTTGGGGAGGGAAGCTAGACAGAGGTGTTGTCCTTGAGTGGAGCCTGGAGCTGGAGGCTCTCTGAGGCCTCACACATGATCACACGTATCTGCAGGTCAGCTCTTCAGAGCTGTTCTCATGTGTATCACAGCCCAGAAGGGTCAGCACTGTATAGGCAACATAACCAAATGGATCAACAAACTGAGTTAAGAGCAGGAAATTGGATAAGGCCCTCCATGACTCTACCAGCCTAGCAGGTGCAAACATTCTCATGGGTGGCACTGCCACTTAACTACCTGTGTCTATGGCTTCTCCATCAAAAACAGTGTTCATCTGGATTGCTTCCTGAGGAGAACAAAGAGATATCTTTAAGCAAAACCTTCATGCCTTTCCCCAGGCAAGGCCACTCATCCTCACAGCCCAAGTTCCTTACCCAGGGTCTTGACATTTATTGATTCGATAGGTGCTGTGCTAGATGCTGGGGACAGAGTGGTGAACATGGCAGGTGTGGTTGCTGCCCGCACAAAGCTTGTAATCAAGTGGGAGCCACTGACAGACAGGTGCTACAATACAGTGATAAGGTCTATGGGGGGAGGAGGGGGATTTAGGGTGCTTTGGGAGCACAGGTGGGAGTGGGAGGAGGACATTCACTCCAGATGTGGGGGATAAGAAAGCATGCTGATTAAATGATATCTAAGCTGCATGGAAGGAAGAGCAGAAATGCCACGCGGCACTGGCTAAGATCTGATTGCCTCCAGGGGATCTTCCAGCAGGTATGCGAGGCAGGCACAGATGAGCACCCGTGGGCTCCCTCCCCGGGCTCTGGCTGTGTCCCCTCGCCTAGGCCAGTGCAGTGTGGCAGCAGGGCCTGGCCTGCCTTATCTAAGCCCTGTGCTCCATGTCTTTTTCTCCCCTTGGTCCACACTCTGTGCCACCCTCCAGGACCTGACCACTGTCCCCATAGAAATGCCCCCTTCCCTCACATGGTGCCCTCCAATGGGGCATTCTTTAGCATGCTCATGAGGACAGTGCTGGGCGTTCAGTGGGTCCTTCAACTCCCAGTTTTTATCATATAAGCCATCACCTACTCAGTTGCACAACACTGAAGAGATAGGAAATGGAGGCCATATAGGTTTCATCCATTTGATCAGCTCAGCAGCCCCACTTCTTATGGTCACGGGGGTTTCTTTATTTAATTGATTAGTGTAATATTATGTATTTCTAAGTCAGTCTCTGCCTGACTTCGCCAAGGGTACTTGCCTTTGACACTATGTCCTGGAGACAAGAGATTGCCCCTTCCTCCCATTTGTAGATCGATTAATACATATAAGTACCTAGCTGATGGGCATGGAACAAAAATTCCAGCACACTGGATTGTCCTCATTGCGCATATCATTCCCCAAAGTGATGGGTCTTGGATCATAACAAAGTCTTATTATCAGGGGGTGGAGAAGAGCTGGGGGGGGTCACCTTT